TTTTCTGAAAAAAATAAATGAAGAGAATGTGTTTACATCAGATCACAAATTTTTATTGACTTTCACGGTTATTTTAGATAAGCTGTCTCATATGAAAATTAGTAAAAAAAACATAAAATTTTCAACTTTCCATTTCAAATATATTTTGATATAATAATATATTGCATGTATGGCTTTTCTTTTCTGATAACTTTGCCAAGAATTAGATGGATGGCTAGATAATCCTCATAAACTCGAAATCCTGTCTCAGGAGCATTACTATACACTAGGCATTCTTATGAACTTTCCGGGATTTGTCTATTGAATCCGCAGCTTTGACAATATTGAAGTGAAAAAGTCAATTGAAAATGTTTATTCTGTAATATCTTAGATATTATAAACTGTTATAGTTTCTCCCAGTGTGGCTCCCTGCTTTCTGTAAACTTTGGCAGGTATCAATACTCATTTCATTGATAATAGAATATTGCTAAACTGTTGAGTTTGATGAAAAGGATGATCTTATGTTTGAGTTATTCATTAGGGGACAATTCAGTGAATCACTGCTGCCCCCCTTCTCTAAGCTTCTGGAATGGATGACTTAGGGTGGTGTGCTATAAAGGATAGCGTTGGGTATCTTTCTTAAAGTGAGACCCAGTATTCCCCAAGTAATTTCACAGAAGATGAGATTACCCCAAAACACTTCAAGGCATTAAATCATACCCTTCTAACCTGTACATATCAATACTATATTCCTAATTTCCACTCCATATCACTACCCATAGACATTATGAAAATATAAATGATTAAGAAAAACAATGCATGGTCCATTGCTTACTTTCTTCCTCACCTTCCACTCCTCTACCCTTGATGGAGGGAAAAAAATTGGAGCACAGGATGCCAGCATGCCTGCCTCTAGCCATGACTTTGCTTCCAACCCTTGGGCTCATTCCTAACTTCCACTTTTACTACCTACCTGGGAGAATAAACAGCCAAGTTTTCTGAACATGTCTGCAGACTGCCATAAAGATTCCCTATCAGCCCTTATGTTTGTGTGCTTTATGCCTTAGAGGGGATTTGGCAGAACTAAGACTTTAACATCACCTCTGGGAGACTTGGCCAAAAATCCAATAGTGTCTCTCATTCTCTCAAGTAATTTCCTTTGCCATTGACTTTCAGTTCTAGTGTTGGATGGTATAGTTGGTAAGTCGAAATCCTAGCAATCAACTGACTGTGGCTTGAAGTGGCAGCTGATTGAAGCCAATGTGCGCTGGGCCTGGTGTCAGTCGCTATGTGACAGACCTTGTCAGAAGCACAAGCGGGGCCTCAGGTTGTAGTGTGGGCCTGACCCTTTCAGATGAATGGGAACTGACAAGGGTGATCTCTGCAACATGGAATGGAGTGATGATGTGAAAACAGTGACATGTTTGGGATTAAAACACCGGGTACAGATATGTCACTTATAATGGACAGAAAAATGACAGGCAACTGGCTTTAACTTTTCTTGACTTCAGTCTAAAGATGTCCTTTGTACCAAGAGCCAGAGCCAGCTAGCAGAATTAGTTATGTAGTAGGAAAATTACTCCATCCCCGGCCATCACCACCCCAGGCTAATCTGTGCCACACAACAACTGGCTCCCTGTGCCATGAGAACAGTGCTTCTTAACCCTGGCTTCCCATTAGAATCACCTAAGCATTCATGACATGTCCCTGGGAGGTTCTAATTGACCTGGGATGGGACACAGCGATTGGCATACCTTACAAGCCACTGCAGGTGTTTATGATATGCATCAATAGTTGAGAACCGCTGCATTAGAGAGGATTAAAAGGGAAAAACAAAAGCTCTGGAAAATGGGCATAACTTTTTTTTCTTCCTCTTAGCTTTACATATTTTATTTATTTGATAATTTAATGGGCACAATTTTCTAAATATAATAACATAATGAACCTCTATTGCCCAAGGAGCTCAAGCCTTTTCCCATTTTATTACCTCATTACTATATTTTTAACCTTGTTGGCACATGAATCTAAGCAAAGTTACAAGAATTAGCTTGGCTAACCCCGCAAGTCACTTGGTTTCAGGAACATGTTTCACCCCCTTGCTTACCCTCTTCACTTCTCTGAGCTAGAAGTTAATGCTCATTGTTAACCTCAGACAAACAAGCATTATGAATAGCTTGACCCTAGCCCTAACTGCCCTTTGAGTCTTAAAGGGTTGAGAGGAAAAGGTGCACCAAAACCATTTACTCAATAATACAAATGTGCTGCCCTTTTTATGTGGCAGTGATGCAGATCCACAGATGGTAGAAAAGGCAGGTACCTCATTTTCATTTTAGCTGAGGCAGTAATTTCCACATTCTTTTGCATTCTAACTCAGGCATGGGAATGTGTCAGAGAGGGTGCATGGAGATTATGACAAAAACCAAAGTGAGCTGATCCTCTGCTCTCCTTCTCCCCCGTGTCCCATTTGAGATTGAATCCCCACATCAAAACCCGTATCCCCAAGAGGATCCAAGATATACGATTTTCTTAGCCTAACTTTGTCAACCTATATCTGTTCTTAGGGTTATTTACATTTGAAACATTATCTCAAACGTAGACTAAAAATAATGCAGAGAAAAGTTATAAATACAGATAGGTAGATGAGACAGACATGATAGATGGTAAATACCTTGCTAAATGATTAAAGATGATAGATGGATCAATAAGAGTTTTCATTGTTTGAGGATGCCCCATGGAATTCCACAATGTAGATACCTACCCTTGAGTAGCTATGAACATTTTAGGCTATGAATATGAAAACTAACCTTTACATCTTTCTATGTGGCTCAACAGGATAGCAGAGAAAATTTATGTACACAGGGTATGGTTGGGTTAGGAAACTTCAGATTATATCACTATAACTGTTGTCTTAAGTAACCTGCCACATTAAGTAACCTTCCTAGTAGTAATTGCTACTAGGATATGAAAGTAAAATTAGGTATTAATGTGTTACAAATTGAAAGAAAGAAAAATTATAGCACAAAAATTATTTTTTACCAATCCATTAAATCACAACTCAACAAGTCATAATTTCTGGTTTATACTTTTTTAATTAAAAAAAAGAAAATCAAATTGTGAAAAAGTCTATTTATCCTAGGAAGAATGGTCATGTCATTTCTTGGTTGTGAGGACCAATGACTAGGGTTGAGAATTATAGCTGTCATTGAAATGTGATTCTCCAGACATATAAGTTATCTTTATTAAAAATACACCCAGAACATGATGTGCAATAAGAAATATGTAATTGATTCATGTTCACCTAGTCATGAGAACAGAAAACCATGTAATGTTTCAACAGACCTAAAAACTAAGGTCTGTTAGCTGAAAATTTATTATTTTCATGGAAGACTCAACCTCAACAGTAGTATAGCATGGGTGGATGAATTGGGAAATCTTAGTCACCAACTCATGTCAAAACCCATACAACAAAGCAACTAAGCTAAACTAGTAAGAAATGGTTTAAAAAAAAAAATTCACAGTCACTCCCCTCTGTAATGTCTCCACTCCCAAATTATCTTATATCAAAAAATTGGGCTGTATCATCAATTATTTAGTCTAGGTTTAACCCCAGTGATTCAGGTGCTCAGATGTGTCTGCTCCCTCCTTGAGTTCTCTGCTTTCAATTCCATCAAGACCTCCATTGTGGTGTCCCTTTGAGAGGGAATGACATCTAATATGCAGTGGCCAGGAGTGAAACGTGGTGAATACTCATATCCAGCAACCTGAAATGTGCATTCTGAATTAGATAGGTAAAGGCAGGAAGAACAACCTGCCCCTCTAGCAAAAGAACTGCAGATTACTTTCAAAAACATCCATAGATAGATTAACCTCCCTTGAATTATAATCTGCACAATACATGTATAATCTATACAGAACACTGAACATGTTCAAGAAAAGCAACAAGCAACAAGTAAAAGAGACCAGTGTCTAGATGTATTTTATGAAAACTGATTTTTTTAAAATAATTTTTTAAAAAGTCAAATACCAGACAAGGGGAAAAGAAAGCTAACTTTAAAGAATTAAGTTAAGGTTGATCTCAGATTTCTTTTCCAGAATGGAACATTTATAGTTTGAAAATATTTTATATTTATAGTAAACATGGATATGAAAATTTATACTGAGTTATGTGCCAAAAGTGTTTTTAAAAAGTAAGGCCATGCTATATTTTGAGAGGCAGTGAGGGAGATGCTCAATATTGTTTGGCGAAGTGAATAGAATTGTTTTGGAAAATCATTTAGTTATATGTGTTTAAAAATTTATATTTTTTGAAGATAATGATGCAACTGAAAAAAATGTATATTCTGAGGGTAGAACTAGACATAAAATGAAGATTTGAGTATAAAAGCAATTTCTTTCATAAGTACTGGTTAGAGGAATAAGAGTACAATACATAAATTACCAATAATGAATGGATGTGATAAATTAACTATAGTACGCTTTTATAGGATCATTATTAACATGCTATTAAACATGTTTACAAATAGTGTTCATAAAATTGTGAAAACACCTATAAAATATTAATGAATATGCATGTTATAAAATATATATGCCTAACAATGCTAAATTTTCAAAAATTGACATGGAATGTGTATGTAAATCTGAGATGGTTCTATTTTTTTAAACATGAAAAAATCTTCAAAGGAACTTAACTAATATCTCTTTATGATGTTAGAAATTTTGTCTTTTTGCAATAGGATTAGAGGCAATTTTTTCACAGTATGCTTTATATTTAATTTTTTTTACTTGAACCTGTAATATCATATGCTAAAAAATTATATGTTTTTAAGTAGTAGAAAAATTTTATCAGCTAAATTCAATAGCTGCTTTCTTTGCTCTGGGAAGTGAGGCATCAAAAGACTTTTAAATAGAGCCATAAATATCAAATTATTGAGACAAAGAATGAGTCCTCCGGAAATTCAAAAGAGAGAGAACTAGTTGCTCAGTGAAGATAAACTATCTTGTGAAACATAGCTGAAGTCAGATTCAGAAGGCCTTGAATGCCAGACTAAGAAAGATAGACTTTATTCTGATGCAAATGGAAGTCCTTGAAGAGATTTTTGTAGCTCCAATTAATGAATATCCTTTGTTCTTCTCCATTAAAGCTGGTATATTGAAAATGTATATGCATCTGTATATTCATATCTGAACGTATGTACACCAAATGTATTCACCCCTAGGCAGGAAATAATGTGTCTAAAAAGAAGAAACAGGAAGAACGATGAAGGCATTCGTTAATTAGAGTACATTTACATTTCCAGCGTCAGCTAAAATCATCCACTTATTTAAATGGAAATCTCAGTTTATTACAGCCATTATTATTCAGCAGTAAGACAACTAGTTTGAATTTCACAAGTAGAGAAAATTGTATTGTCTGTTACTTCTTTCAGGGGTCACTATTAATCAACTTTAGAGTAAAATTACAGTTTTTAGGCATCAAAGTTATTTATTGAGTACTTACTACATGTAGAACCATTGGATAAATTTCACAAATAGTGAAAATTGTATTGTCCGTTGCGTCTCTCAGAGGTCACCATTAGTCAACTTTTGAGTAAAATTACAGTTTTTAGGCAACACAATTATGTATTGAGTACCTACTATGTGCAGAATCATTGGATAAATTCCATACAGAATCCCATTTACTTCTCATAGCAACCTCACCTGATTGATATTTATCATCCAAATTTTATAGGAAGAAAATCTGCTAGAGATAAGCAACTGGCCAATATGAACCTATCCTTAAACGCAGAATTGTTTTACTCTCCACATTCTGTATAAGCCAATAGATTAAAACCTCACATTAGAGCACACCCATTAACTTATGCATTTTCTAAAATTATTGCTATATTATACATTTTTTGAGAATGTGTGTATAGATATGTAATACATAAATATGTGTATGTGGGTATAGTATGCATATACACATGGCATATATTGATTAGTTTATGTGTAATGTGTAATATAAATATACATGCATTATAATTTATACATATAGAAACTTATTGAGTATTTTTTGTGGTATGCTTTTCATATGCATGTATTGTTACATATACCTATATATAAATAGATAATCAACAATATATAAATATAAATTATATGGAAATGTATATGCATATAAAATTTATACATACAATTATATATAAAATATATTTAAATATAGTAATTACATATATGTATGCACACATACAAAATTATGTTTCTGCTTTCTTTACCTAGAAAAAAAACTGCTGTGCTATTGGGAAATTAATTTTGTAATTGAGGAAATATTACCCTCACAATGAATAGAGGATAATGAATTCTGACTCCACTTTCAGGATTGCGGCCCCAAAAAAGAGTTGATGCCTCTCTTTACTGTTTAGAGGCCGTGCACCCCTAAGAATGATCTAAGAATCTTCGAGTGTCAGTACGAAGGACCTCCTTTCCTTATTCTCCCATCCCTTGTGTCTTTCTCCTCCAAATTCCACCTCCTCTAAGACGTACACAAGAGCCCACAGTTGGAGGAGGGGTGACAGGACCCCTTCAGCCCTGGTTCTAATTCTATTCTTTATACTCAAAAGATCAACTCTAAATCTGGTCCCTGCAGTGAAAGGACAATCACCTACTAGTTAAATTCATTCAGCTCTTTATTCAACAAAACGATGTAGCATTTTCATCAGTGGACAAACTGCCACCGTACAAAACATAAAGCATCAGCCAGAACAGAAAAGAGGCCTTCATGGGAGTTTGGAGTTCCACACAATGGCTGGGGAGGCTGAGCTGTCACTGCTTTTCTTCATCCCAGTACCCCATGCATAGATAGCACCAGCTCTAGCGTGAAGGGAGATTTAAAAGCAACTAAGTGCATATAAGCATTTCTCATTCATTATCTGGGGTTTCTGCTACTGGGTGACATATCATTAGTCCTAGTGTAAGGCAAGCTTTAAAAACGTAATTACTTAATCATGCAGTTAGCTTCCCATCAATCCTAGCAGCATTTGTTCTTAACTAGCTTTAAAGAACAAAATTAGGAGTAATTTGTAAACAAAAGTAATTGAAGAAAGGCAGATATTGCCAAGGTGTTGACAGCATTAACAGACATTATTGTTTCCCTTAATACCACCACAGCACTGCAGTTAACAATCGGTAGCTGGCAAAAGGCAGAGCTCGGGAATTAGTAGGAGGCCACCTGAGGAAGTGCAGCAGTAGGCAAAGTGGTCCTTCCACTGGCCCTACAGACATCGAACTCTAACAGGTAGGTTGACTCTCTGCTGCTAAACTGATTTGTATTTCATGCAACCTACAAATTTGATGATTTTGTAGGTTGGTGTGATTTTTAGCATGACCATGAAATTCTCTCATCTTATTTTTATATCTTCTTATTAGAACCCAAAAATTTTTCCCAGGAGGGTGCCATCATATTCACAGGAGCTATAGATGTACAACTTCCATCTGGCAAGAACAACTTAGGTAGGTAGGTAGGTAGAGACAAAATATCTTTGCCTGCCCTTCTCATTACGTGTTGCAGGTTCAGTGAACTTATAGTGACCATCACTTCTGGGCCAGATATTTTCCTAGTCACTTGATAAATGGAAGTGAGCAAGAAATGGACTCAATTTTCATGGAGCTACTGATTTTGTAGAGAGAGAAAAATGGAAATTAAACATGATCAACAGACTTAAACCAGTCTGTAATAGCCCCAATATTTATTTTGTAACTGCCTGCTGGGACTAGACACTTTACAGAGTCTTTAGCAGAAATCATGAATAAATGAAAGACTTAGAGTACAAACAAGAATATGCAAGAATATGTCAGGTCCAGGAATGAGAATATCACTATTGTCATTCTATAGAGGAAGTAACTGAGCCGGAAATGAACAAAGTAACTTACCAAAAATCACATACATAAAGAATAGCAAAGTTGAGATTCAGGTTCAGGTATTTATATTTATTATCACTCTTCTGTTATGATAGTGAGTCCAAATATCTTTCCAGAATCCAGTCGAATTCAACAGGAGTGCTGAACCTGGAATCAGAACACCCAAGTTTGATTCTGCCTCTGAAGTCTTCTACAGTGACTTTAAGTAAGTCATGAAAATTCAGTGAGTTTCAATGGCCCCATCTGTAGAAATTTGTATCTTGGTACCTTTAGCACAATCTGTTGCCATAAGAATCTAGTGATGTATAGGAATGCTATTGATTTTTGCACATTGATTTCGTATGCTGAGACTTTGCTGAAGTTGCTTATCAACTTAAGAAGCTTTTGGGCTGAGACGATGGGGTTTTCTAGATAAAGGATCATGTCATCTGCAAATGAAGATAGTTTGACTTCCTCTCTTCCTATTTAAATACCATTTCTTTCTTCTTTTGCCTTATTGCTCTGGGCAGAATTTCCAATATTATGTTGAATAGGGGTGAGGAGAGTGGGCAATCTTGTTTTGTTCTGATTTTCAAGGGGAATGCTTCCAGTTTTTGACCATTCAGTATGCTATTGGGTGGGTTTGTCATGTATGGCTCTTATTATTTTGAGGTATGTTCCTTCAATATTTAGTTTATTGAGTTTTTAAATAAAGAGATGTTGAATTTTATCAAAGGCCTTTCTGCATCTATTGAGATAATCATGTAGTCTTAGTTCTGTTCGTGTGATAAATCACATTTATTGATTTGCATATGTTGAACCAGCCTTGCATCTTGGGGATGAAGAATACTTGATCATGGTGGATGAGGTTTTTGATGTGCTGCTTGATTTGGTTTGCTAGTATTTTATACTTTATACACAAAGGAATATAAATATTTCTATTATAAAGACACATGTGTGCATATGTTCACTGCAGCACTATTCACAATAGCAAAAACATGGAGTCAATATAAATGCTCATCAGTGATAGACTGGATAAAGAAAATGTGGTACATATATACCATGGAATACTATTTAGTCATAAAAAGGAATGAGAGATCAGGCCCTTTGCAGGGACATGGATGGAGCTGGAGGCCCATTATCCTTAGCAAACTAATGCAGAAATGAAAAACAAAATACATGTTCTCACTTCCAAGTTGGAGCTAAATGATGAGAAGACATGAACACATGGGGGGAAACAACACACACTTGGCCCTGTCAGAGGGCAGTGGGTGGGATGAGGAGGGGGAGGATCAGGAAGGATAGCTGATGGATATGGGGCTTAATACCTGGGTAATGGGATAATATGTGCAGCAAACTACCATGGCACACGTTTACCTGTGTAACAAACCTGCAGATACTGCACATGTACCCCTGAACTTAAAATGAAAGTTAGAAATTTAAAAAAGAATCTAAAAAAATAATAGAAGTGATTTGTGCTTTTGGCCAAAAGTAAGGTATTAATGCTATGCAATTCTATTTATATGAAGTTCAAGAACAGGCAAAATAACCTGTGGTAATAAAAACTAAAATATAGGTGCCTCCAAATGGTTAAGAATAGACTGGAAAGAAGCATAGAGAACTTTCTAGGCTAATGGAAATGTTGTATATTAAATGTCAATACTCACCAAGTTAAGCACTTAAAATCTGTGCACTTTATTGTATGTAAACGATGCCTTAAAATTGCACTAAGAATAATACATAATTTATTAAATTTTTTCAGAAACTTAATATAAATCTTCATATCCATTTTTACTATCTTAGGAGTGAGTTGAGGTCCACTGTCCGAAATGAATCATCCAAGGGAATCACTTCATGCCCCATTAGACCCTCGCAAAAGGAAGTTCATATCCTTACAAATATCCTTTAATTTAATTCAAGATAAATAAAACCTTTTCTTTACATCTTTAAAAACCAAAGCATAAAGAATCATCATGAATTTCCATGTTTCTTGGTCTAGCATACAGACAAAATATGAAAAACTCAGTTTTCTATCTTTTTCAATTGAGAAAAAATTGTTAAAACTTAAATTTACCAATCAGAAAATTATAATAATATTACCTTTGAGTTGGGGTGGGATATGAGATAACTTTGATTCATTGACTTGTAGGACAACATAAATTGTTACCAAAGAGAGTATCATGTATTTTCCCATTATTTTGTGTTACCTTTTTTTATTTTTCTAGTGACTATAGAAATTTTTACTCTCTACAGGGTTTTATGACTCTAACATAAGCAGTAGTAAACAAACATATTTTTCATGAGTGCCCAGAGCATTCGGCCTTCAGAATTATTGGGTCAAGTCTTCATAGTCAAAGGCAGATCAATCAACAAGTTTCCATTGAGTATCTACTATGAGCCCAGAACAGCAGAGTTAAAAGGGTTGAGATAATTATGCAGGCCCCAAAGTGACGTTTATTGGTTTCCATAGATCATTTAGGCAGAAGGAGGCTTTTCTCTTTTAGTTATCTGTAAAACTAAATCACTATATTACCAGACTGGCCTACTTCTTTAAAAGATTAAATAAAAATTATTTGCAATACATGTAAATATTTTGGTAAATTCTTCTTACAAACTCTCAGAACTTAAAAAAATGCATCAGTTTAGATTTTAATGCTAGCCAGATAGGTGATACTTGAACTACTCAATAATGAGGAGTGCTCAACATTTACAATAAGAAAATACGGTTTATTGCCTTGGCTTCAAGAGGGAAAAAAAAAATTAGTTGACCTGCATTGGGGACCAGGTAGTGATTGTTTACATGAATAGGTTCTTTACTGGTGATTCCTGAGATTTTGGTGTACCCATCACCCAAGCAGTATACACTCTACCCAATGTGCAGTCTTTTATCCCTCACCCTTTTCTCCCAGTGCCAAAAGTCCAGTGTATCGTTCTTGTGCCTTTGTGTCCTCACAGCTTAGTTCCCACACATGAGTGAGAACATACAATCTTTAGTTTTTTCATTCATGAGTTACTTCACTTAATAGTCTCCACTTCCATCCAGGTTGCTGCAAATGCCATTATTTTATTTATTTTTTTATGACTGAGTAATATTTCATGGTATCTCTTCATGGTATAGGTAGATACCATGAATATATATAGATACCATGAAAAAAAAATTTATATATATATATATATATGAGAAACATTTTCTTTATCCACTAGTTGATTGATAGGGATTTGGGCTGATTGCATATTTTTGCAATTGCAAATTGTGCTGATATAAACGTGTGTGCAAGTATCTTTTTTATATAGTGACTTCTTTTCCTCTGGGTAGATACCTAATAGCAGTATTTCTGGGTAAAACGGTAGATCTACTTTAAGGAATCTCCACATTGTATTCCATATTGGTTGTAGTAGTTTACATTGCCATCAGCAGTGTGAAAGTGTTCCCTTTTCACCATGTCCATGCCACCATGTATTATTTTTTGATTTTTTGATTATGGCCATCCTTGCAGGACTGAGGTGGTATTGCATTGTAGTTTTGATTTATATTTCCCTGGTAATTAGTGATGTTGAGCATTTTTCCATATGCTTTTGGCCATTTCTATATCTTGTTTTGAGAACTGTCTATTCATGTCATTTACCCACTTTTTGATATAATTGTTTTTTTTTTCTTGCTGATTTGTTTGAGGTCCTCATGGATTCTGGCTATTAGTCCTTTGTCAGACGCATAGATTGTGAAAATTTTCCCCCACATGTGCATTGTCTGTTTACTTCCCCGATTGTGTTTTTTTTTTTTTTTTTTTTGCTGTGCAGAAGCTTTTTAGTTTAATTAAGACACATGTATTTATATTCGTTTTGTTGCATTTGCTTTTGGGTTCTTGGTCATAAAGTCTTTGCCTAAGTCAATGTCTAATAAAGTTTTTCCAATTTTATCTTCTAGAATCCTTATGGTTTCAGGTCTTAGATTTAAGTCTTTGAACCATCTTGAGTTGAATTTTGAATCGGGTGAGAGATGAGGATCCAGTTTCATTCTTCTACATGTGGCTTGCCAATTATTCCAGCGTCTTTTGTTGAATAAGGTGTCCTTTCCTGACTTTCTGTTTTTGTTTGCTTTGTTGAAGATCAGTTGGCTGTTAAGTATTTGGCTTTATTTCTGGGTTCTCTGTTCTTTTCCATTGTTCTATTTGCCTTTTGTTATGCCAGTACCATGCTGTTTTGGTGACTGTGATCTTATAATTTAGTTTGATGTTGGGTAATGTGATGCCTCCAGATTTGTTCTTTTTGCTTAAACTTGCTTTGGATATGCGGGCTCTTTTTTGGTCAATATGAATTTTAGGATTGTTTTTTCTAGTCTGTGATGAATGATAGTGATACTTTGATGAAAATTGCACTGAATTTGTAGATTGCTTTTGGCAGCATCGTCATTTTCACAATATTGATTCTATCTATCCATATGTATGGGATATGTTTCTATTTGTGTTGTCTATGATTTCTTTCAGCAGTGTTTTACAGTTCTCCTTGTACAGGTTTTTCACATCCTTGATTAGGTGTATTTCTAAGTATTTTATTTTATTTTTTGCAGCTATTGTGAAAGTGGTTGAGTTCTGGAATTGATTCTCAGCTTGGTCACTGTTGGAGTATAGCAGAGCTACTGATTCATGTACATTGATTTGGTATACTGAAACCTTGCTGAATTCATTTATCAGCTCTAGGAGCTTTTTGAGTGAATCTTTAGGTTTCTCTAAGTATATGATCATAGCATCAGCAAATAGCGACAGTTTGATTTCCTCTTTACAGATTTGGATGTCCTTTATTTCTTTTATCTGATTGCTCTGGCTAGAGCTCCCAGTTGAATAGAAGTAGTGAGTGTAGACTTCCTTGTCTTGTTTTAGTTCTCAAGAAAAATGCTTTCACCTTTTCCCTGTTCAGTATAACGTTGGCTGTGTGTATGTCATAGAACACCTTAACGTATGTTCTTTCTGTGTTGATTTTGTTAAGGGTTTTAATCATAAAGAGATACTGGATTTTGTCAAATGCTTTTTCTGCACCTATTGAGATGATCATATAATTTTTTATTTTAATTCTGTTGATGTGGCATATTGCACTTATTGGCTTATATAAGTTAAACCATCCCCACATCCTTGTTATGAAACCCACTTGATTATGGTGGATTATCTTTTTGA